TAAGCTGTTCCAACTTCCAAAACATTCATAGTTTACAAGTCGAGTTCAAACAACGAAGAAAAAAAACGAAATAGAAAGAAACTCTCCTAGGAAACCAAAGCACTAATCATTTTACGCGACATCAAGAGGTGAAAACTTCATAAACCTCATGTACAACCTCGACGAATGAAAAAAGAAGCAATAAACGTACCTCAAGTGAAGCTCTCGCGCTTTTTGCTCATTTCTGTCCTGAATATATAAAGAAGATAGAAAACAAAAGCGATTAGCTGGGCTCGCCTTCCTTGTGTCAAACCAAGCCTCAGTACCTAAGGAAATTGCAGTCAAATGAAAAAAAGCATAAAATTGAGCCGCTTACCCCAGAAGCCTTCGGACGCGCAAGTAATAGCGTTGGGGCGCGCGCTGCCACGCCGTCGACGATCGCCGCGATCGCGGCGATCGCCGCTGCTGTCGCGAACTATGAACGCTGCCTTATCAGCTGATATCACTTCCTGTCACCACCAAATTGTGTTCCCCGTCACACCCGCCTACATCATTCTTTGAAACCAATGTCTCACTGTTAATGGACCGGCGCTATGAATTTCGTGACACACGGACAGACGCAAACAGCCACACACAGACACACCACACAACACACTTACAGTCGTCATCCTTGCACTTGATAGGGGCGTGTCGGCGAGGAGCGTGCACACTGTTTGAAGCCTTCTCAGCCTTTTCGTTGAAACGCGTATGCGACAAAAAGTGATAGAGAAAGCGAGTAACACGAAGGATATAATACAGTAATGTCACTTCCTGGTTCAACGATTGGTGCAGTACGGGTGCGGGCGACCGCGCCGCACGCAGCCGCACTGACATTGACTATCAAGTGCAAGGATGACGACTGTGCAGACATACTTAGCGGATTATATAGAGTAGGATACTCACTTAACATGGGATTATCTCTTAATGCGGGATTGCTTACGATAGTTGCCGTCTCATTTGCTGCTAATCACTACTGTAATATCGTGTTTAAATAGTATGAGAATTGCGCTCGTTTCAGCAGTGTACTGAAAATGACTCGCTTATTGTATAAATACGATTTCTTTTACTATTTCATGAGACTTTTCATTAATGAGAAGTCATAAGTAAAAACTACCTCTGAAATACTTTGAGTGGTAATACTCATGGTCATAATTAAGAAAGCTTCATAACATAATAAATGGACTTTGAGATTTAGGGTGCTGAAATCCCAATCCACAAATCCCAGTCGAAATCAATTTGAGAAAACACAAAAGTGCTTGCAGAGGTCGTCGTTCTGAGCACTTTTCACTCATAAGAATTCATAAAAAAAAACTACTTTGTAGTACTTGGAGTGCTAATGCACATAATCACGGAAGCTCCACAATAACTCGAATAAATGGTGCATTCAGAAATTAGGGTGTTGAAATCCCTACAGATGAAGTCAATTCAAGAAATCAACTACATATGTATTAACACCTTCCATGGCTAAAAGTTAAAGGGCCGGTGGGCCATGCTCCAATCCAGCAGCGCGCCCCAATTTACTGTAACACGGATTCACCGGCCTCTGGAATCTGTCTTGTGCATTTTGCCAACATCCGATCAATATGACCCTATCGCCATTCGCTTAAAGGCAGCGTCCGCGATCAACCAAAGTGAAAAAGCCCTCCAAGCTGATAAGATAGCCCCAAAAATTCGCAGCATTGTTGTAGCCACACTGGAGAATTGCCCCCGGCAAGTAAGGTAACATTAGTAGTGGGAGATAAGTGCAGGTCGTGTCCGACAAGGGCTTTTTGGAGTCCATAAATGGTTACATTTTCTTGGCCAAATGAACTGTGGGCAAAGGCTTAGTGAACCAAGATGTTTCTATCCCTTAGCGATATAGTAGGAATTGATTCGACCGCTAAACTCTCGAGTTTCGACAAAAAGTAAAAGTCCCAGAAGCTGCTTAATGTACTAGGATATGAGGACATTTTACTCTGCGTCTGTTATTACCACCGAAACTCTTCAACCGCTAAGCTTTCCTATTTCCAACGAATGGCGAATGTTGTCAAAAACGTGATAAGCCCAGTTAGTGGCAAGTTCATTAAAAGGGAGAAGCACGATGAAATGGGCCGTATTCCGAAACAAGGGGATTGGGCCAAGTGTTGTGCTCAGCAGAGAAACCCCCTCGGTGACCAGTACTATGGGTTTAACCATGCGCGCAGTATTGCGCGTTAGCCAAACTGGTACATACATACCGACAAACCGACACACAGAGTTAGTGGTTTATAGAATGTAAGGATTACTAAGTTTCAACGTAGAAAAATGTGCCGTCCCACGTGCAAATCGTGGGAAAATGGCTCGTCATCAACGTGTTAATTTCCCTACACTACACTGCAGAGTTGGATGCTTCCCAGCGCTTATTCCAATCGGTCTGCGTGGGAGGATGTCCACAGCTCTTCTCAACTCAATATCGTGTAGGTTCCTTGACATAATTGTTGATAGCGTGATGAGTGCGGCCCAAATCCCGCGCGATTCGACAGTTCGACAGCTTTTGAGTCTTCTTTGCGATAATCTGTCCTTTTTCGAGGTCCATCAGTGATCATCGTTAATCATCTCTAACGCAGGGCTGAGTCCACAGACTTTGAGATCCTTCACAGCCAGGTAGCATTCTCTTAAGAATAGAAGTCTTAACGAGACTATAGATACGGTCAAATTAACATTGTACTCCTATAATCATTTGTACGGCGCAAATGGAAGGGGATGACCTTCAACAGCAACGAGCAGTGTTTTTTCCCGAGGACACTTTGCGATCTCAGTTGTTATTGTAGTTCCCACTCCTGTCGTTAGAATATGTTGTAGTTTTGCTCCAAAAGTAGAATTTGTAACTTTCATAACCAATTCTTAATGCTTCGTAAGTGGTCTTCTTTTCTGGGTAATTGACATGGCACATGCCAATTACATGTCGGTCCGATATGTATAGAAGATCTGCCAGATTTTTGCATGTGAAGTGAGTGGAAGCGCTTGCTTCGTTGAGGACCCACACACATGTTGTATATGGGTAACTGGATTCAGTTTCCAATGTTTAAGGTTCGGAAAACTAATGAATAACATCTCGGATCGAGATCTAGCCGTGGCAATGATGTAAGTGCCTAAGGACAGGTCGTTAAAATTGATGCACCTGGTTATATCCCTAGGTGTATCGTTAGGTATGTGTGGTTCTCCCACGAGACCGTAAACTTTGGCCACGCCCCCACCTACTGTCAATCCGTCGGCTGATCAAGCTGAAGTCAGTCTGGGGTTTTGCCGAGCGCACGGATGGTGAGCAGATCGGTCTCTCTCGGAATCGGGAGGGGTAGAGGGATTCCCTGGCTCAAGGGAAGGTTCGCGACGATGCGAGCTTCATTCTCTATATTGGTGAAGAGTGGATCTTCCCTTATAAGGAAAGTGGAGGTGCAATAGTGCGTACGATACCGCTACAGATGCATGATGACGGATGTCTTGTAACCATTGCGGCCCTCACCGCCACTTCACACTCTTCCCGCACAACATACCAAACGCCTTTTCTACCGTGCGATTATAACGAAACACTAGGAACACAAAAAGAAACCTTGCTGAATGAGGGTATAACTCGTAGACTGCAGGGGTGAAACTGCTCGATTCTTTGCTAATGTCATTTCCAATCCTCTGCTGTCCTCGTAGAGTAGTTGCGGTTCAGCTTGATCGTCTTATTGTTCACCAGTTTGGCTGACGCGCACTACTGCGTGCATGATCAAACCTATGGTATTGATCACCGACAGGGTTTTCGTGCAGACCACTAACACGTGGCCTAATCCCCATGTTTCAAACGGCGGCCCCTTTCATCATATTGCACCTTTACTAAGTATTTGCCAATGTCTAGTGCTTATCACATTTTTAAAAACACCCAACATTTGTTGGAAGTAGAAAAGCTTAGCGGTTGAAAGAATTTCGGTAATCGGGATCTCAGTGAAAGCTCCTCATATCCTAGCGCTCCCGTTGAGCAGCTCTCACGTATCCGTTTGCTGCGAGTTCTTATCATTCTTCACTGGAAAACATTTTTAGGGTTTTACTTTTGAAACTCGTGCGTTTAGCGGTCGAATCAATTTCGACTATCGCTGAGGAATAGAAACATTTGGCTCACTAAGTATTTGCCCATAGATTTGGGAGCTTCCTCTCTGACCCACCGTTCCCATCCTTTCTCCTATTTCACCGCTTGCAGTTAGTGTACTACCGTCGCTGCGGCGCACGTGAACTTAGTACCTTTCTAGCGCTTTATGATATGTAATCAGCTGTTATCGATTCCTGCCACCCACCAACAATGTTCCCATCCTGTCCCCCCCCCCATCTTACTTTTGGAACCAACGTTCTACAGTTTCTCTGAAGCGGGTCTTGAAATTGGTGATGAAATTGGTGTAAGAACTATACGGTATTTTATCAGCTATTATCACGTCCCGGCACCCACCAACAACGTTCCTATCCTGCCCCCTGTCCCACTTCTTGGAACCAATGTTCCGCCGCTGCTATGACCCGCGCTACGAAGTTGGTGACCCTTCCCTTCTGAGGCTCTTTATGGTACATCATCAGCTGTTATCACGTCCTGACACCCACCAATAATGTTCCCAGCCTGGCCCCCTATCTTAATTCTTGGAGCCAAGGCTCTAGCTTTGCTGTGACACGCGTTATGAATTTGCTGACTTTGCCTTGGTAAGGCCCCTTGCGCTATCTTATCAACTGTTATCACTTCCTGCCACCCATCAATGGTGTTCCTGGCCGACCCCCTAGATCATTTATAAGTTTGAGCGCTTCATCGCTATTTGAAGAAAGTTATGAATTTCCGGTCAAACACACACACAAACACACCAACAGACAAACTTAGCGGATTCTATATAGTAGGATGTTTGAATTTCGCCATGTGAAAAAATGATAAAAGTTCGCTTGACCGAGATACTTTTAAATGAGTTCAACACGAATTCTGATGTTCAGATAGTCTTTCAGGTAAACACATGTCCGTTAGGAGACGGTTCTTTCACTTTCGGAAGATTTCATCTCGGTTGTACTCAAGCCATGTAAGTTATTTCATAAGAGATCTTGCCTTGAATTGAAAATGAGGTGGAGCTCAGTACTGTTTTGCAGATAACCCCAGAACTGGCTGAAGTTCTCCATAAATGGCCAGGAGGGCAGGTAGATCTTGAATCGAAGGGGGATATTGCAAGACTTCGGCTAAATCGACCGGAGAAGAGCAACTGTTTGTCAGGAGAGATGATGTTCCAGCTTGGTGAAAGGGTGCAGGTATAGAACTGTGTTGCCATATTCCTTACCTGTTAAATGGCTCGGTTCCGTGAACTCATAGAAAGATTTATTTTATTCGGCTAACTACTTGGACGCTTCTCAACGCAGACCATGTAAAGCTCGCCTCTGAGGATAAGAATAATCTTGAACAACACGTGCAAGTGTGGTCTGAGCTCTTGGCCAACTTCGGCCTCAGGCTGAAGTCAAGAAAACTGAGTGCTTGGCAACCGACTCGAACGAGTCCGGTTCTCTTTAGCGGCAGTAAGCAAAGTGTAAACAACGTCCAAGTATCTCGATCAACACTAACGTCTAGTAGTGTTCTATATTCGGACTATGTTTGGCGTACTCTGCGACAAGATAATATCAGAGCTTAAGTCAAAGGTTTATAGAATCGTCGTTGGTCGCGATATACGGTGCTGAATGCTGACATACGACCCGTGAGGTTAAACTCGTTTCGGAATGATGGAGACGAAGCTGTTGCGCTGGACGGCCGGTGTCACGCTTGTGGGTCGCGTTCGCGACGAAACAAGAAGTTCAGTGTAATTCCAGTAGTGGGGAAAATGCGCGAAGCTTGCCTTCGATGGTATGGTCAAGTACTGCGCACGAATTCGTCATCGTCCGTAATACTGGTCTTGAGTTCGGGGTGCCCGGAAGCTGGCTAATGACGCCCGAAGCAGCGCCCGCTAGACACAATGCATGCGAACTTGAAGGTGGGTGGGACCCATCCCGACTAAGCCTTCAATTGGGAGAAGTGCCATCACGAAATAACGAGAGTGGACTCCACCACTGAGGCCGTGACGAGGTGATAAGTGACGGCTCTATTTATTAGTTTCCTGAGACTGACACAAATGCTTCAATGCGCTGACGTTGCAGCGAACATCGCCTTTTTCGGAGCCTGGAAGTCGAAGCCTGTGATCAAAGTAACTCAGTAACCATTTCACGCTACGGTATGGAACACGAGGTAGGAGATCTCGGAACTAAGACTCAAAATCACTAACCTTTTCATACCAGCTTTCACTATTGCTCCTAAATTCTACAGGAGTTCATCGCTCCACTGTGCATGATTCCACATTTCGATTTCGAGGAGAGCCTGAATGTTCAAAAATCGGATCCAGAACTTATAGTAACTGGGACCACTTCACTAGCTAGGCATTAGAAGCCAGTTAGTTAGTTTCAAGATTAGCAATTAATGTCTGTATTAGGGATTGAGCTAGCTAGCCAATGGGGAACTGCAGAGCTGCATACTCTTGAGGAATTTGACAGAATGTTCAGTTCCATTTATTTTGTTAATTTGTTGACAAGACGACTAGGTTCCGCCATTATAGACTTCATAAAGGAATGGTCTCAGAAATCTGGTCGTGCCTCCCAACCTTAGGGGAAACCACTCCAAGACTAGGCTAGCTGTCACTTGTACTCAATCGTCATTTTTACTTGTGAAAGACACAAATACTAATTGACGTTCTGGAAACGGTAGATTCTTGTGGCATGCAGAACAGTTTCGCTCGCGATTACTAGCGAGGCTGCTGACACAACTGATACCGATGGTAGCTCTAACAACCGATAAATATAAGAATAATCACAATGTCTACGCGAAACTTTCTTCAAAATTTTAGGAACTCGACAAGTACTCGTCTTGTGGTGTGTTGGTTGTCGAGGGAGCAGGAAACTCATTTTGCAGCGGAGGAGATCTTGGGCTAATTGATCAGGTTGGGATTTCTTCACTTACCTAGCTTTGACCATCGAATAATTTGAGTACTTTGGGAGAGGGGATGAGTGAAGTGGCGAGGTTGCCCTGACCCCGACTTTGATTGTCTCTGCTTTTCTAAGGCTGGACCTGGGGAGACAGTGTACATAATCGTTCTGCGAATCCCATCACGGCTCGTAATTCGCTGGGCAGGAAGGGATGTTGATAGTTTTTTTTTATTTTTGGCGTTGAGGAGTTTTTTTGGCTGTTCATTTTTCTCTAGGTTAGAGGAGGGGGGTATGGGCGCGATATACCCCCCTCCCCCCTAACTCCCAAAAACATTAGTGACGATAGATGAAAAACCCGCGGTTTGGTTCAGCACATCTGGACCGCCGTGCTGCGTGCATTCCGGATCATTTCATCATTTTTCATCAGCTTCATCCTAAATTTCTTACTTCTTTTCAATCATAGATGAAGAGCAGTACCTTCCGTAACTGGGAACTTGCTTTGGCAACATTACAACATGAAACACAAATCAAATTAGTCGAACAAACATTGCACGGAGTGCGTAACACACCATTGTGTCACGCGGTCCGTTAAGGAAGTTTGCATACATTAAAATTTTTGAATCCTATCTGCATTCTAACTTTTGGATATTGTCCGGCTATTCACAGGGGCCGCATACAGCTACAGATTTTGTTCACTCGGACATCGTTCCGAGGCAGTCTGGACGTCCAACTTTGCAAAGCTATACATTGCGCTTGCCATGAGGAAACTGAGCGAGAAGGATGAAACATTGATGTGGAGCCATCAGGGCTTTCCGTTCCATTGTATGTTCACATTTTCCAGCTGAGCAATCTTTCCCTTGGACCGGCAATGTTTCAGTTCATGTCATCTTCACTGGCCATGATTCGTTCCTCTCCACTGGTGAGTTCCAAAGTTACGAACTTCTGAAAAATAGATGCCGTTGAGGTGCACTGCTGTTCTTATCTATCTCCTAAAAGAAAACTAACCAGGGCACATCGTTGGTTGGGGAATCCCCAACAGGGGGGTCGTATTTTGCCGCCAGGAGAGGCGGGGTCGTAATGAGTGCGGTAGCCAGTAACGTGCCGCGCAAAGGTGTCAGTGTGCTGAGTCCCGTACTGCGAAATTTGCTTTGTGGAGACCTCGGATATGTAAAAAAAATAGTACAAAACTTTCACGCATCAAACTAATCCGAAATAACTGGAAATATCAATAAGTCGACATCATCTCGTGACTAAACAGTACAACTCATACTCTGGTTCGCTGCGGGTGATGGGGCGTGTCCGCGATCGCGCTTGGCGCTGAGCTAACCTGTTTTTTTCGACAAAGGACAGTACTACCATATCGTTCGTATCAGACGTTCTCCAGCAGTTGGTCTCCTCTATCGGGATCTTATAGACACATATGCTCGCGTGGACAGACATTACGCTCAAATTGCACCATCCCATCACCTCTGCGCGGACTTCAATGCGCGGCGCATGCAAAGTTAGCATAATTGGCGCTAAACTAACCACATCCTGCTCCTGCTCCACTACAGGATACGTTCTACATGTATTTCTGGCTATTCGAACACGCTCCTTGAAACCGTACACAGAAAACGGGCTTTTGAACAGTTCGGAGTGTTTCCCAAATAATCCCCAACGCAATTATCTCACGACTCTCGGATGCTTCAAAAAACGTTCAAGTAGTTTTTGGAAAGAGCAGATCTTCTGCAGCTGGACAGTAGTTTCAGATTCCCAAACTATTGAGGTTCAAGGGAAACATCTTGGTTCAAACCTGTAAAACTCGCGCTCCAAACTACCCAAAAATGAACTCCCTAAAAACTCCCCAACGCAAATTTCTACATTAATTCGGCGACCTTTATGAACATGTTATTATGTTTTGGAAAGATAAAATCTTTCTCCATACCACTGCGTTCTTTTCTTTCGCAAAGGTCCGCTATTACGGAAGTTATGGTCCTTTAAAAACACCCCTCTTTGCTGAAAATCCGCGCTCCAATCAAACCACCTGCAACCACCTTGCGGCTGGAGGTCCTGCCCAGAATCCCTCCCCGGTACCTCGGCCTTTAATCAGCTGATTTCGGCTGGTTTGCTCTCGTTCGTATTTACTCATTCGTGTTTATCTTCATCTCGGTTTATTAGAATATCGAATATTTATCTTCTTCTCGGTTTACTAGAATATCGAATACTTATCTTCTTCTCAATTTACTCGAATACTCGTCAGCGCGCGCCCCAGCAATTTTGCTTGGACCGCTCAAAGTGCTCTTAGGAGGAGATGGCTTAATGTTTTTTTTTCTTTTAATTGCAATTGATTCAGGTACCAGAGGTTGAGTTTGTTTTGACTCGAGGAAAGGTGAGTGGAACCCAATGGCCTTTCTTTTTTATTCTCTTTTCTGAATCGGGATAGAAATGAGCAAAAAGCGAGGGGGGCCTCGTTCAGGATTGTTACTTTTTCCTTTGTTCTCGCTTACTTATACATAAACTTATGAAGTTTCTTCCTCCTCAGGGGGGGGAGGGTAAGAAACTTCATAAGTTTATGTATAGGGGGTTACCGAACCCCCAAAAAGGGGGTGGGGTCGTACGGGCTTCACCAAATTCCCCAACCAATGATGTGCCCTGAAACCTGAAACAAACTCCTCTCTTATGTAGGAGTTATGCGCCGCGAGCAGCCCGTTGAAAACCAGAAGATGCTTTGAACTGTAGGCGATCCGATTTTGATTAGAGATACTATCCGTGATCAATTAATGAAATTAGTTGTAATAAAATGAATTGCCTCCTTGTGTATGGTATCAGATCAGCAGCCGTAGAGAGTGTACCAGTTTCGTCACGCGGAAGTCTGAGGTAGAGGTGACAAAAAGCCATGCATCGGCCTACACAACGACTTACACCGTTAGCTACCATTGTGTTAGCTGCAGCGTCAAAGGAAGATCTCGTGTGTTGTACTGTTAGCTCACAAATTTTTTTGCTTCCACCATATATCTTTATTGGGAACGAACTCGTTTTGCTTCCACGAGATCTCTTTATTGGGAACAAATAATAACGCACTGCACTGCTGCAATAGTACGTCGCTGCTTTGTTCGTCGTAATCCAGTTTCATAGACAGAGCTTCCGTGAGCAAAACACATCATCGTTGGGGACTCCTCCCCCAAAAGCGGTGGGAAATATTAGCTCGCTTAAGGAGGGGGGGGGAGAGGGTCGTAATTTCTGAGGGAATTTTTTGATAGTTGATTTTTCTTTTCAGGGACGCTACAAAGGAGAGGGGGGAGGTCGTATTTGCTCGTTGTTCGGAGAATGGGGGTCGCGTTTGCTTACTGGACTTCCGGGAGAGGCTGTTGATTTTTCCTGGTTTCTCGTGTTTTATATGTACTACCAGCTGTATCGCCCGACTGACGCCGAGCTGCCCTATCCCTTTAGCCCGGGCTAGCCTGGCTTTGGCGGGCACGCCTCGTAATGGACGGAGTTGTTCACTCACTGAGTGGCTGATATTGCGCGGTATTGATCGAATGGTAATAGGTAGAGTGACACAGCCGATCCTGCACTTCTGATTCCACGCTTTTTATTTGCAGGAGGGACATCATTACATGCGTATAATACATGTAGTGTTAAGGGTCGAACACTTCGACTGAACGTCAGCGGCAACTTCCCCATCAGCCACTATAAGTTGTCATCGACTTCGTCACCCCTTTTGATGTTCCTGTTCTACCCTCTATATTGCCTGATGGAATTACCTTATTACAGTTCTGCGATCCGCGATATGAATTTCCCTGGTTTTCCCTTTAATAGCCTCTTATCGGACCTTATCAGCTGTGATAATGTTCTGTCATCCACCAATAGTGTTTCCTTCTCACCTCCTATACGATCTTTTGAAGTGCCTTCCTACAGTTGCTGCGACCCGCGCTATGAGTTTTCCAGTTTGTCGCTATCATTTTCAAAACGTTACCTCTAATTGATACCACGACATGGATTGTTTCGCAACTGTGCTAGCGGTTGATCGCTCTTCTGTTTAGTCTTCCTGTAGAAGCACACTGTACGCCCCCCACAATAACGATTCTTCAGTAGGGCGCAAGTGGCTCACAAAAGAACTTAGGCGTGAGGTTAAGTGCACTGCGATAGTCGGCCACGGATTCACACCATATTCGACGCGCTTTACCTGAAAAAAAGTGGTCGTGGCCGATATTTCATGTTGTTGGTGGTTTCTCTGAACATTTGCGTATCATTTCACGGGCACTGTTCAACTATTACTACTCCACTTCTCCGAAAACAGGACACATCTTCATCGACTTTTCTCTACCAGGGCAGATTTCGCTGAAAGTTGGGTTATAGGGGTAATTCGACCTCCTGAACACGAATATCACATCCTTTTGGTCTGAAAGTGCCTCGCTCCCGCGACACAGGCGCTGGCGCGAAAATACCCTAGGCCACTAAGTCTGCTGAAAACATGTATACGGAGGTTATTCAACATCTTGATTACAAATATCACACCCATTTTAGGCGCTGGCGCTGATGGACGACGCTGCGATTATCTGCGCTCTGCTGGAGGCTGGTCTGACCTAAAGGAAATCACTCTTTCTCCCAGGCTCAGCCTTAGAAAAGCGCTAAATGGCGCTGGCGTCGAAAAATGAATGTCGTATTCGTGATCAGGGCATCAAACAGCTCCATTATGCAGGTTTATCAATTTTGACAAAAAAAAGGGTGTGGCGCCAAATCAGTGCCTAATGGCGCCAGATGACCTCAGGGCTGATAACTAATTCGGTATTCGTGATCAAGACAAGTTATCCTACTATGCAAATTTAGAGCGGATTTGTGAGGAAGTGCGGTAAGCTATTTTCCAAATTACCGCATTTGAACTTATGGCCACGAATGATTGGTGCTGTGATTATGAGTGAAATAGGATTAGACTATAGCACAGGAAAAAAATCATGGAAACCTTAGTTTCTGAGCGGAACGAAAACTGCCCTTCTTCCTCTCAGGGAATTTCTGGGAATTTCAATTTGTTGTTGGGAAAATGTCCGCTTTTTCTCAATAATATTTGGGTTCAACTTCCTACAGTGCATTATATCCTGAATAGTTCACGCTGTTAACATCCCCGCAAGGTATATGCCGACAAAATCGCCTACAACCGCTTTTTTTCAGGTAGCGCGACGAATATGGTGCGAGCCCGTAGCCGACTATGGCAATGAACTCAACCTCACGCCTAAATTCTTTTGTGAGCCACTTGCGTCCTACTGAACAATCGTTATTGTTACGCTCCCCCACGGCCCCTTCCCCCATTCACTAACCCCGGCGCCGCACTCCCCCTCCCATCCTTTCCTCACCCTGTCCCCTGCACGTGCCCAAAAGCTGCCACGCGAAAAGCGAAGAAAAAACCCTGCAATTGCTCGGAATTCACTGAATGGTTGTCTTAGATAGTACTGACCGTTACAACAATGAAAAATGGATCAATACATGTGCACAGACCGCTTTCCAGCCTCCGTCAAATCGTGAAGCATTTTGCAGACGGACGCACATACATACAAACGGACCGACAAACCGACACACAAAGTTAGTGCCTTACAGAAAGGAAGGATATACCCTTCCCCCTCCCCACTCGACACCCGAATGAGCGGAGTGGGAGGATCGCATTGATGTATCAGGCCACCCGTTTAGGGGGCGGGTTGTGTGGACCCGACCAAAATCCTCGACTAATGGTGTGCCCTGTGCGAGCTATTCCCCGTTAGGGTTTTATTCCGATTATGTTTTATGATTTTTTTTTCTAATGTTGTATGGGTTCAGTAGTATTGCTAGTACTGGATGGTGCAATGAGAGGAAATGTGTGCTAGGGATTGCGCCGAGGCCACAAGGCGTCAACAGAAATTTCGGAAAACGCATAATGAAACTGGCCAACTGTCGCGTAAGAGCGCCACGGGTTAGCTACTGCAGGTTCATAACTGAGTACCACTACCCATAACACTTAATCACGAAACTTGCCTATAAGTTTCAATTCGGAAAATGTTCCAGCTTTTCACAGCCCACCTTTTGAATGCATCAGCTGTTGTGCATATTGCACAATAATTGAACAGTTTGATACGTGTGAACCTGAGGGAGTCACACATTGTATATGCGTAACATCAGGTGAGCGTTGCTCGGATCCATGGACACTGTTTGGGTGGAGGAACCGAAATAGCGTCGCCGTGTGACATCCGCTTGGCGCACAAGGATGCAAAAGTGTGTGATTTTTTTCCTTCCATGTTTTTCATTTTTCGACTCGTAAGTATACTATTAACGTTGTAGATTGGATTCATGCAATCCAGGTTGGGAATCGTCCCGTCGTGGGGAGGAGCGAACTATATGGCGTCCATTATCGGTCGAAGCACGGCGTTACGTCTTATGACTACAGCTCCGATGTTCAGTGCATCAGAAGCTAAGGACATAGGATTCGTTGACGTCATATATGATTCCGATGAAGATTTTGAGGTGCATGTCGATTCTGTTATAAACATCGCTCTTGAAAAACCAGAATCGTCCAGAAATTCATTTCCTCTATGGTGAAAAGTGGAGCAGACGTCTGTCGAGCTCAGAAGGCTATGCTTCTCGCTATAGAAAATGACAAGGAAGATGCTAAGCTTGGTTGGTTTTTAATCATTTCTCACATATTCAGAAATATGGTGATAAAAGAACTTTCAATCTCTGCCCAGTTTTTGAAAGTTTTTGAATGTAAAATTTGTATTCAGTCAACACAGTAGGTTACCCCAAAGTGTGTCAGTGCATGAGCATTCCATCTTAGCGAGCCATTACATTCCATCTCTTTGTTGCAGAAAGAGTGAACCTCGTTTGCTAGTCACTGTTGTCGACGCTTCAAAGTCCGCCTCGGCATTTCGAGAGGGTTTTGCATGTTGCAGTGGTGAATGCAGGAAGGTGAGAATGGGAGTGCCTGTTTAGCGGGACCCTGACTAGACAGTGGCATAGAACGAGAGTACCTTAAATTTGATTTGTGACTAGATCTCGCTTGATTTAATGTTTGAATCTATCCATGAGTTGTTTTGACATTCAGAAAGGGGTTTGACGAGAGAAAAAGACGTGGCCAATGTTGTTCGGAAAATTGATGTGTGTGGACGCTTTAAATTCTCAGTTCTCGCAAAGGGACGTTGCTCTGAATCGACACTGTTGTGTTGTATAGTTGTTTAGCTAGCACTCTCTTAGAGCCCTGAGGGGATGCAGGCTGTAAAAGGTTGCATCAGGAAGCGACGATTCCCTATAATTTCTCGCGGTAACCTCCTGCTGAAAGAATTGCATTCGTTTAGTAGTTTAGCAGCAGGATGTAAAAAAGCAAACCTCCGACGTGAACTTCCCAGCTGGAGTCGACTGAATGATGGATTGATGATGGACTGAATGACAACAAAGGAACATTGGAGGTAGCGCCAGGGCTCCAACGTGAGCGACAGCCTAGGCAGCGTTCATACTTCGCGACAGCACCGGCGATCGCCGCTATCGTCGGTACATGGCAGAGGCGCCCCAACGCTATTACTTGAACGCTCCGAAGGCTTTTGGGAAGAAGCGATTCAATTTAATGTTTTTTTTCCTTTAGCTGCAATTTTCTCAGGTACTGAAGCTTAGTTTGACACAAAGCAAGGTGAACCGGCTTTTGTTTTCCATTTTCTTTCTTGGTTCAGGATAGAAATGAGCAACAAGCGTGAGAGCTTCATTTAGGGTAGGTTTTTATTGTATGTTTTTCATTCGTCGAGCTTATACATGAGGTTATAAAGTTTTCACCTGTTGGTGTTGCGTAAAATGATTAGAGTTTTGGTTCCTAGGTGAGTTTCGAACTCGACTTGCAAACTATAAATGTTTAGGAAGTTGGAACAGTTCAGACGAGAAGAACTTTTAGGGCGCTTGTATAATTTAAACAAAAGAAACAAAAAGAAGCTCACCCAGGAAATGGTGTTGGCCTTCTCCCGACCTAAAAAGAAGTGAAACCTCCTTACCACATATTCCAGATCCGCTTATGTATAGAAAGTCTAACTTATCAGTTAGTAGCCATTATTCACAGAAAAGAAGGTCTTGCAAATTGGATTCCCGTATTTATCAAGCGAGCGGTCCATGATAGCGTTGGGGCGCGCTCTGCCATGTACCGACGATCGCGGCGATCGCCGCTGCTGTCACGAAGTTTGAACGCTGCCTTAGGGCTGGGCTATGCACTGGAGTGCACCACAGAGCAGGCTACAACCGGGAAATCAGTGTAGGGTGACTGTTGTGTCTAAACCGTGAAAAATTCCCAGCAAACTGAAATACATGACAGAAACACCTATTGATATTTGTATAACTTCAAATTCAGACGTCATCCGTTCTGTGTGGGGAGGACCAGCTCAGAGAAGCGCAATAATGAAGCAAATGAAGGCAATCAGCGATAAGAAATGATCGACTCTATGTGGTACTTCTTACTTCGTTGTTAATACCGAATAATGTTTCCATTCTGCATGCAGGCATTTAGTGTTAGAGATTCTTGGATGCACACTACTATTATCTCTCATGCATAATTCACGAAAAATGGAGAACTCATAAACAGGCAAATTATCTAAGTTACAAGGGCGCTGGTGTAGTATAGGTCCACAGTCCAACACCATAGATTTTAACGTGAGCCTGGAAGGGAAAAAACTTCAAGATAGTTGGGTGTTGGTGAATATTCCCTTACGAAACGGAGAAACACGTTCTAACGAGAAGCAGGTTCACCCAAACCTTGTATCCTCGTCCTATTGCAACATCTGCTACGCCTGTGCCCAAACATATGTTCTAGTGTTTCATATGTATCAAACAGCAAGATTGCTACCCCTAAAAGAGAATAATGAGAAACGCTTTAGTTGGGCTCATTTGCCAGGACCCTATCATCGCAGAAAATTTCCTAGCATCTTTGATTACGGTACCATAAATGTATGTGATCTGTGGCACGTAATTTATGCCTTTGGTGCAGTGCTGCCTTCGCTGCTTATGTGGGGTGTGTTAGGAAGGTTGAGTTTGGCAAGGCGCCACACTGTTCTCCATCAATTGCTGAAGCGAAATAAGCCACATTAAATCCAACCCCCTGAAACGCCCTAACATCCGTGCTGAACTAGTCTTTATAACAGCTGTCGTGCCTTTGCTATGGCATTTTATTGTAGTACTTTTTTGTTTGCTGTGATGCCTTCGAGGGTGTATTCTGTTTCTTCGACGATTAGTGATTTAGATGAAGAAAAAATCTTTCTGATACGATCACATTTTCTTGATCAGTAACGATGATCGAGCTGGAATCTATGCTTATTGTTACTATTGTCTCACCCACCGTTTGATACGCCATACGCGCGCCGCGGCTGCATCCTCTCACCGACAGGGCACGCCAACGTTGTGATGATCAGAATGGGGGGAGGGGTGTCGTACTTGGTCTGAGAGAAATTTTATTTGATAGTCGATTCCTTTTGTTCCACGACACTGTAAAGGGGGGGGGTCGAATTTGTCGTTGTTGGGGAAGTGACTGCCAAAGATCTATACAACTACTATTCCCGGTAGTAGAAGACACATGGTACGCTCAAACACATTGAGGGTTATGAGACTATCAGCCCCAGTTGTCGATGTGTCGTGGTTTCCCCGCCTGAAACTGCACGGGGTCAGAGTACGGGGCCGCGGAATAGTCTAATTCCTTGCTACTCCGCCCAAAATGCAACTTGCGGCGCAAACTCCTTTATGCTAACAGCCGTCCGCGCGGCGCGTGTCGGGCGCGGCTCTTTTGGCTTTTTGCCAAGTCCTGTAATTGCGTCTTGGAATACGAGTAAAACGCAATCTCCTGATACGGCTAACATTTTAGTTGCTGCAAAATAAGAACCGAAGATGATGACGAGGGCCAGAGAAGCGTCGCACTGTTAGTTTAAAGTATTTCTATGGTTTTGGAGCCAAATTCGCATAGGATCTTAGAAATTTACATGCGGTTTTAATTAATTTGCGATTCCTTAATTTTTTCATATTTGTTTTATTTACATCTTCATTCGTTGTTCTTCATTTCTAACCTTTGTTATCTTCATCACCTTCTATTCGGACTTTGAAGCATGAGCAACACCACAAATGTTATCCGCATGAAGAAGTTGCGTTTTTTATGTACTAAACTAACGAGTGGAACACTTAGGTTTTTTTATTGTCATGTTTTGTGGTAATGCGCGGCCTCTGAGGGACATTGCAGAAGCAGCGCAGTTGCTCTCGAATTCTAACTATTGTCATCATCTTCGGTTCTTATTTTGCAACACCTAAAATGCTATCCGCATCGGGGAATTGCGCTTTACTTGTATTCCAAAGCGCAATTACAGGGCTTGGCAAAAAGCCAAGAGAGCCGCGCGCGAGATGCGCAGCGCGGACGGCTGTTAGCATAAAGGAGTTTGCGCCGCATGTTGCATTTTGGGCGGTGTAGCAAGAAATTAGACTTTCCCACGGCCCCGTACTCTGACCCCGTGCAGTTTCGGGCGGGGAAACCACGACACATCAACAGCTGGGGGCTGAGACTCTCGTACACCCTCCATGTGTTTGAGCGTACCATGTGTCTTGTCCCGACAACTTCCCTCCCCCCCTGCTCGACAGCAGAATTTGGGGTAAAAAATAAATTTTCCGGGAAAAAGTGGTAGTTGGAATAATTTAGGGAAATCGTAGGTAGCGTGGGGAGGGGGGGGTCGTGTTCGAGGATGGATCTAGGGGGGGGTCGTATATTTGGTCGTATATTTCAGGAATTGATCACAACGCGATGGCGTGCGCTTACCGAGACACTATTAGGTTTTTGTTGAGAGAACACGGTGCATGTATTCCTGACCATTTCTCCTACGTCTCCTTCTGGGTAAGAGTTCATAATATTAGGTTGTCCGGAAAGTTCTCAGCGTTTTGGGTGCTTCACTTTGAACGATCGTAACTTTCTTAGTACTCATCGGATTTTATCGAAATAGGCACCATTCGAATCAGCACACTTTTGCCAATGTGACGGCATTCGAGAAATCCCATCAAAGTAAAAAACTGGGTGATCGAAAATTCACGAAGTCCACGAAGGCTTTTTTGCCTGGTCCTGATTGATGAAGTATTTCCCAGCAAGGGAGTTCTGAAAATGTTAGAAAAGGTGGTAGTCGATTGGCGAAAGGTCTGAAGAATATGGCGGTTGAGGTAGAACTTCAACCCCCAATTCGTTTAATTTATGGATAGTGATTTGTGAAACGTGTGGGCGGGCGTTGTCATGCAAAGGGATCGTACCCTTTCTTTTGATAAGTGTTGGCTGCATCTGACGAAATTTTCGGTGCAATTCGTCGATTTCTTCACAGTAGGGTTCTGCTGTGATGGTTTGGGATGGTTTATAGTGGATCACACCAGCCGATGACCACCAAGCCGTGCCCAGAATCTTTTTTTCGTGAGGGTTCGGCTTTGAAAATTACCTCGGTGGTTCGTCGAAAGTTACCTCGGTGTTCGTCGAAATCCAACCACTGTCCGGAACGCCTCCTGTTATCATACACGACCCATTTTTCATCACGAGTGACGATTCGGTCCAAAAACAGGTCGTTTCTGCTGCGCAAAAGCAATGCAGAAGGAGCCTCGAGACGTGCCGATTCCTGCCGTCACTCCGATTGTGGGGCACCTAATTTTCGAGTTTTTTCACCTTCCCGATGCGTTCCAGACCATCTGCAACAGTGGATTTGCCAACGCCTAGCTCTTCTGTTATCTCTTGAACTGTCTGGGATGGGTCAGCCTCCAAAACCCCCTAAGATCCTCGTCAGATATTGCTTTAGGTCGACCGCTATGAGGTTCATCTTCAAGGCTGAAATCTCCAGAACGAAATTTGTTGAGCCATTGCCGCACAGTGCTTTCTCTAGCACTATTGGGACCCCACACTTGGTTAATTTGTTGAGCTGTTTCGATTGCGGATTGCCCGAATTTATAGTCGAAGAAAAAAATCCTACGAAGTGCTCTTCTCACATGCTTGAAAATCTTGAAAAAAGGGGGTTTATCAAGCGGTGGTGAAACGGCAATTATACCATCAGATAGCGCAAGAAATTCTCTACAGGATATGCTACTGAGAAGCAAGGCAGAATGAGTTTTCAATCAGCAGTGAATGTACAAAAAATAGGTGCACAAAACGCTCTTTCCGGACAACCTAATAGTAGACTCCATGGTTGCTGTTCGAACAAACATGGAGCCCCTTTGAAGGCAAAGCTCGCGACCATAGATTGTGGATAACGGAACCCACATAGGAACGAAAAAGGGCTAGGTATCTGATTAGCGGAGAAAAGCAGCAGAAAAACAGCCGAAAATGCCCTAAATAGGATTCCATATCGACTTCATGCATGCAATGAAGAGAACGCATGTTTGTACGTAACACTCGCGTTATCATGAAGATATCAGCTCTCTTATCGTATCACCTCACTCTCACCATTGGGAATGGAGAGAGATAGCATAGTGGCTACTAGCTAGTAGCTAGCAGACGGTGGGGGTCGGCATGGGCCTAAGGGGCGCCCATGGGCCTAATTGGTTAGCTTAAAGCGGAATTCTTGCCGATTTTCTTTTCTAAAGATAGCGCAGCCTCCGCAATCTCCTTCTGGATCGTCTGACGCCTTTGAAAGGTCATAGCCTTATTTTATCGTGGAAAGTGCCTTTAAGCGCTGACATTGTGGTCAGGGAGACCACCCGGTCGTTCTCTGTATCACTTCCCCAAAAAGGCTCAGAACGGTAAAAGGGTTGCTGAAGGGTAGCCTCGCAGAGAAGCCAGACCACTGAGCTTCATCTAGAGGAAGGGACACCGAGGCGCAAACGATTGGTTTGCTTGGTTGTAGACTGGTTTTTGTCAAACTATTGTCAGTCCTGGAAAGGGGATCTTTTGAAATCCTTTTGGAATCCACGTTGAAAATACTATTGGGGTCTCGCTGTCCTCTCGTTCATCTACATTGAAATGCGACTTAGTGATGCAAATTCAACGTACTAATGTAAAAACACCTGTAACAAACAGAGTTTTCAGCACTTTCATGTATGAACGCGGACCAAAGGTGAAACATATTCCGCCATCATATGAAGTTCATAAGAATCTTTACTTCATATGTTCTTTTACAAGCACATGTCTTTTTTCAATCAAGAAGGGGAAAGGGTTAGAGAAATAAAAAATAAAAGTACGAAGTTATACATAAAGCTATTGTGATAACTTTATTCTATATGAGAAGTGCTCTTTGACAGTCCTCCGCCACGTGAAGTTTTTTTTTCAAGGATTTGGAAGATTTACGCTGAAATAAGAAATGGTCATGTCGATGTTCAAAGGCAGTTGGCACGATAAAACCCCCAAGACGAGTAGGATCAATACGCCTGGCAGCACGGAATTCCGCGAACTTAAGCAGGCGCTGCATAACGCCTTTTCCAAGAAAGGTGTCCTTATAAGGACC